TGCAGACCTGCCAGATCTGCTGAGTATTTCCAGCATTTTAGGTTTGTTTTTCAGATCTGATGCATTTTGCTTTTAATAAGTTTGGAGGAGATCATTTATTTTACACAGCACAAGAAGTACCAAAAGTAAGTGGTGTACAGTTTGGCCCACAGTCTGAGCATGAGAAACCATACACATCTTTGGGCATTTTATGCCCATTAGTGCATCTTAAGTGCCAAATTGTAAAACTATAGGGTAATATAACTGAGGTGAAAAGGGTGAGCAAGAGAATTAAAAACACCTAAATGAACAAAATTACAAATCTGGACAAGAATAAGCTCCTACAGGGCTTTGATAAAGAGGTAATATTGCTTATTATGAGAGGGTTTGACAATGCACAGGCATAAGACCATAATACCATAAGAAATCGGAACAGGAGTAGGCCATTCAGCCATTCAAGCCTGCTCAACCGATCAAAAAATCGTGGCTGATTCAACATTCCTCACATCCACTTTCCTGCCGTTTCCCCACGACCCTTGATTCCCTTGCATCTATTTATTCATGTAGATAGTCCTCAACTTTATATCTGTTGTAACAAACTTCTTTTTGACACAACTGTAAAATTTCTACAATACACCCAGTAAGTAACTCTTTTTTGAAAACATAAAATCTTAAAATAAGCAAAGAAGAATGATGTTTGCAGGAGAACGCCAAATTATTTGTGCCATGCAAGACATGAGGGTATTGCCCTTTTATGATAAAGGTATATCAAAACAACCACTGCACATAATATGCCTATTGTGCAATTTGATACTGCTTGTGAAATCTGCAGCCATCAAGCTTTTCTTTGCACAGCAGCTTATGCAGAGAAGTTGACGTTTCGGGCCAAGACCCTTCATCAGAAAAGGGGGAGGGGAAGGGGGTTCTGAAATAAATAGGGAGAGAGTGGGAGGCGGATAGAAGAGGGATAGAGGAGAGGATAGGTGGAGAGGAAACAAACAGGTCGAAGAGGCGGGGATGGAGCCAGTAAAGGTGAGTGTAGGTAGGGAGTTAGGAAGGGGATAGGTCAGTCCAGGGAGGACGGACAGGTCAAGGGGGCAGGATGAGGTTGGTCGGTAGGAGATGGAGGTGCGGCTTGAGGTGGGAGGAGGGGATAGGTGGGAGGAAGAACAGGTTAGGGAGGCAGGGACGAGCTGGACTGGTTTTGGGGTGCGGTAGGGGGAGGGGAGATTTTGAAACTTGTGAAATCCACGTTGATACCATTGGGCTGCAGGGTTCCCAAGCGGAATATGAGTTGCTGTTCCTGCAACCTTCGGGTGGCATCGTTGTGGCACTGCAGGAGGCCCAGGATGGACATGTCGTCTGAGGAATGGGAGGGGGAGTTGAAATGGTTCGCGACTGGGAGGTGCAGTTGTTTATTGCGAACCGAGCGTAGGTGTTCTGCCTCTCTGCTCCTATGATGCTGCTTGGCCTGCTGTGTTCATCCAGCCCTGCACCTTGTTGTCTCGGATTCTCCAGCATCTGCAGTTCCTACTATCTCCTATGCAGAGAAGTGGTTTGTTTCTGTCTCACTACCACCATTGACAGCTATAGAAAGCTTGCAGCACTCCACAGAAATCACACAACCATGTCTCCTGTCACTCTCTTACACAACTCGGGTTCATGTTTATGATTCCTATGGTGTCAGTTCACAACCTCCACCAAACTGGAGTTATTGAGCAAACAAGCAACTGTAAAAGTGAGTGAGAGTTAAAGCAATCAAAAAAACAGGCAACAGGTTATTGTAGGCTGCTGACATAGCGAAGCATGATTTTGTGACACAGTGGCTAGCACCTCTGCCTCTACGCAGAAGCTCAGAGTTTAAGGCCCACTCCAGGATAAGATGGACAAATAAAATGCGTTCATAATGCAGCCAAACCAATTGATTTATCACCTTGCCAACGCTATCAGCATATTGAAAAATTACATTCCTGGAAGATCAACAAGGTTTCAGTCAGAATAAACAGCATCTTTCACCAAGTTGATGATCTCCCAGCCGTAATTAATATTTGCCTTTGAATGCCTCCCTGTAAAATACAAAGTCTAGAACACACAGTTATACATCATGATGCTGCCTGAAGTGAACAACAAGCATTAAGAGCAGGAGAGATTCCTTATCAGGCCTGTAATGGAAAGACATTTTGAGCCTCCAGTACCATCACTATCCCAGTCTACAAAATGCATGCAAAAGCCCTAGACACTATGGGCAATTTAGCGTGGCCAATCGAACTCATTGAGGTTCCTACCTTTTAGATGTTTATAAAATCATGAGCGGCATGGTTAGGGTGATTAGCCAAGGATCTTCCTCACGGTAGGGGAGTCCAAAACCAGATGGCATAGGTTTAAGGTGAGACGGGAAATATTTAAAAGCGACTTGAGGGGCAACGGTTTCACGCAGAGGGTGGTGTGTGTATGGAATAAGCTGCCAGAGGTGGTGGAAGTTGGTACAATTACAACTTTTAAAAGGTATTTGGATGGGTACATGAATAGGAAGGCTTTACAGGGATGTGGGCCAAATGCTGACAAATGGGAGGAGATTAATTCAGAATATCTCATCCGCATGGTCAAGTTGAACCAAAGAATCTGGTTCCGTGTGGTATGACTACATGACACTAAGTGCATGTTACCACAATAACTTGGGATCCCTGAGTACTCATATACACATGACCAAATTTAGGCTGACGTCAGAAGAGATCTGCCCTTGAGGTGTCTGTGGTGGCGAAGAGACAGTGACCTACCTCTTTCTGGGAAGTGCCTTTACATAGAAGGTCTGGAAAGTGGTGCAGCATCTTTTGTTGAGGTTCACCCTAAGCAGCATCATGACACATGACTCTGTTCTACACTCTGCGTTATACAAGTTGTTCTCAGGGAGACATTCAAAAACAAACATTAACCACTGCTGAAGGATCATCAACCTGGCAAAACACGCTGTTTGGTCTTTTTTTATGATTGAAGTATATTTTTGGAGAAAAAAGGATTGGAAGAGCTTTGACTACCAGTTTTATCTACTCTTATCAATTAGGATATGATAGGGCTGTTTAAAAGCAGAAGGAACAAAAGAACATTAAAAAAATGAACAGGAGTAGGTTATTTGGGCTCTCAGAACTGCCTGACTAGTCATTAAGATTGTAGCTGATCTGATATGGCCTTAATGTCATTTCCCAACCTGACCTCCATAACTCCCTTCTTGATCAAAAATCTAACTCAGCTTAACATATTGAATGAAGCAACCTGCAAATTGCAAATCCTAAATTTCCAAATACTAGTGACATTCTGAGAAGATGAAATTCCTCCTCATCTCCAGCTTTAATGAGGTCCTTTACTTGCAAACTGCACCTCCTAGTTCTAGATTATAGTTATGACAGGAAACGTCATGGATTATCTTAGCATCCACCTTGTCAAGCCCCTCAGGAACATATATGTTTCAATAAAGTCACCTCTCATTCTTCTAAACTCCAATGCTCAGCCTGTCCAACCTTTCCTCATAAGAAAAAGCCCCCATCACAGGTATGCATCGTATGAATCTTCTCTAAACTGCTTCAAGTACACTTACATCCTTTACTAACCAAAGCTATGTACAATACTCCATATGTGGTGTCACCAAAATCCTATAGTACTACAGAAAAACATTCCTACTTTTATATTCCATCCACTTTGCAATAATAACATTCCATTTCCCTTGCTAATTAATTGCTGACCTGCATGCTGACTTTTTGTGATGCATGTACAAGATCACCCAGGTGCTTATGTCCAACATCATTTTGAAGGTTATCTCAACTAATACTCTGCTTTGCTGTTTTTCCTGCCACAGTTTACTGCCTCACAAAACAAGTGGAGAAATTTTAAACTAATATTTTAAAACAACAAAGCTAAGTCAAAAGAAAGAATCAAACATAAGTAGTGGATCATCCTTACAGTGTGGAAGCAAGCTATTTGGCCCATTAAGTCTACATCAACCCTTTGAAGGGGATCCACCCCATCACCCTTACTATCCCATGGCTAATCCACCTAGCCTGCACATCCCTGGACACTATGGGCAATTTAGCATGGTGGCACGGTGGCTCAGTGGTTAGCACTGCTGCCTCATAGTGCCAGGGACCTGGGTTCAATTCCAGCCTCGGGTGACTATCTGTGTGGAGTTTGCACGTTCCCCCTGTGTCTGCATGGGTTTCCTCTGGGTGCTCCGGTTTCCTCCCACAGTCCAAAGGTGTGCAGGCTCGGTAGATTAGCCATGCTAAATTGCCCATAGATGTTTAGGTTAGGTTGGGTTAGACATGGAAAATCAAGGGTAGGGGAATGGTTCTTGGAGGGATGCTCTTCATAGGGGCGGTGTAGACTTCTTGGGCCAAATGGCCTGTTTCCATGCTGTAGGGATTCTATGAATCCACATCTTTGGACTGTGGGAGGAAACCCACACAGACACAGGGAGAATGACAAACTCCACACAGATAGTTGCCCAAGGCTGGAATTGAACTTGGGTCCCTAGCATTATGAAGCACCAGTGTTACCCACTGAGCCACTGTGCCACCAGCAATCCCAAAACATTCAGAACTCCTTGACTATTGTTCTCGCCTCACCCATAGTGATACTCTCAGTGCCATTTGCTGTCACTCTTTCCCATAAGCAAAACTGGCACACCTTACCTCATTGTGAAGGTTTGCAAGGTTTACCAACTCTCTTCGTCGAGTTTCACCCCTCACCATATTTTTACAATGTCTACTGACTTCCTTCTCTCTGACTCTGAAAACTCTGTCCTTGGAAAAGGCCTTTGCTTCATCTCCTTATATTCCACTTTAATGAATTTCAAACTTGGAGCAATGCTAGACTTAGCACTTCTGCCATTATCTCTGCTTCCATGCATCTTAAAGTAGTAGAAGTGGCAATTTTCAGAGTATACACATGAGCCAGGGTTTCTTACATTTTATAATTATAAAAAAAAATTCATTAGCACACTCTCTTTCCCATTACACTAAACTGTTCACCTGATGGATAAGGAAAAACTTGTTCAGTACTGATTCTACCCTGAAATATGTTCACACCAAAGGAAACTGATTCCTGCAAAGGGAAAAAAAAATCACGTTATTTAATTGAAATTCCCAGAGCTCACACAGCACTTCACAAAAACATCAGTATAATATATAGAAAATTAAATATAGAACTGCATTACTTTTCAGACCTAGAATCATTTCAATGGAATTCCTACGATTTCATTTGCACTACCATTTGTGAATTATCATTAGGTGTGCTATTTCATACTTTGCAATTCTGAGGGCAAACTTAAGTACGTTAAACATTTTCACCTTTAGAAACAGGGCTCCACTTTAAACTTTGCTGATAGGATGAAAGGTTTCCTTTGTTTATGGGTTGCAAGGGTCTCATAAAATGTGATCAGATAGTCTCAACCCAGTTCTTTATATCAAATACACACAAGAATTGCTCCAAATTTGGCCTCAGTTGGCACTAAATTGCAGTTCTCACCCAAAGCATCTACAGCGATGCTTCCCAAACATTTTCCCAATGTGACCGCATTTTGAGGCTTGCAAATCATACTTGTGACAGTATTAATATGGCAACAATTCGAAATCTCTCTCAAATGCCATTACCAAAGCTGGTGTCAGAAATGAAAACATTCAGAGTGACACAGTTGTAGATTAGCTGCAACATATTGTTCAATATAGCTTCATACTGTGACTAACAAGTGCTGACTCCCTTTGCAAAAACTAGGAACATTCTGCAGTCTTCAACATTGCCATAAAAATGAGGGGACTGTGCTGGATTCAGAATACAACTTGCAAAAGCTTGTAGCAATTTAAAAAATACACACCATCTTGTACAGAAGACTATTTCTAATATCATACAAGAGTTACACACAAGTAATGATTAATACGTTTTCATGGGAATTATATAATCGATTTGAATTCCTGCATTATTATTGGCATTCAACAACTTACATTTAGGTAACAAGGTGTAGAGCTAGATGAACACAGCAGGCCAAGCAGCATCATAGGAGCAGGAAGGCTGACGTTTCGGGCCTAGACCCTTCATCAAAGTTCATTTAACATTATAAATGACCAATGAAAAACGCACAGTGCAGATGACTGAAAATTTGGATGACCAAATGCATGGTTTTGAGAAAACTTTTAAAACAAGGTGGGAAATCACAATGTAGCTATGAATGCGAACCACATGGTGGACAGCATGGTGACTCAGTGGATAGAACTGCTGCCTCACAATGCCAGGGACGCAGGTTTGATTCCACCCTTGGGTGACTGCTTGTATGGAATTTACACGTTCTCCCCATGTCCACGTGGGTTTCCTACAGGTGCTCCAGTTTCCCTCCATAGTCTAAAGTTGTGCAGGTTAGGTAGTTTGACCATGCTAAATTGCCCACAGTGTCCACGGATAGGTAGGTTAGGTGGAACAGCCGTGGGAAATACAGGGATAGGGTAGGGGGTGGGTCTGGATCGGAGCATTGGTATGGACTTAATGGACCAAATGGCCTGCTTTCACACAGTAGCGATTCTCCGTTTCTAATTTAGATAAGGCGGGAAAACCCTTCACTCAAAGGGTTTGAATATTTGGAATTGTCTGTACCCAGAGTATTCAGAATGCTCAGTCATTGAGCAAATTCAACTCAGAGGTTGATAGAATTTGGAGCACAAAGGGAACTAAAGGGTATGCAATTGTGCAGGAAGATGGACAAGGCTTGCAGGTTCAAAAGGTCAAAAGTCATACTTCAGCTAATATTTCAGTTCTTACCTTAAAAATAAAAATGAGCAATTATAAAAAGCATTTCAACAGATTGGCTCACCTTTTTTCCTTTACTTGCAAAGTGAGCATTAAACTGCAAAGTGGGAATAAATACTCCTTGTAAAATTCTGCTGGAAATAGGAATGTGACATATACAGAATATTAGAAAACCATTAGTATTACTTAAATGGTATCAGATACAACTCAGAAAATAATATGCTGTGTGTTTTACAGGCAGATCTTAACATTTAATACCAAATATGAACTGACTTTAAAGCAGCCTGTGAAAATAACATCCCAAGAATTGGGGTTGTAAAGTTAACTTGTTTAGATGAATCCATCTTGGATTGAAGCTCGTGAAATTGAGGCAAGTTTTTTGATCTGTTAAGGAAGTTGACTGACCAACAGGAGACAAACAGTATAGTTGTGGATACTTTAATTAGCAGAATTGAATTAATAGTGTCCCACATCAATCCATGTTGGATCCTCAACTCTATACAGTACATGTTAATGATATGGATGATGGGACAGAACCATATAGACAAGTTTGTTGATGACACAAAGATTTATAAGCATTGTAAGCAAGGTAGATGGAAATTAGCACTACAAGGATGCTACGTCAGGGGTTCTCATGATCTCCCACCATAAAGGATGAAAAGACAGACAGAAGATTTACCCCAGTCTTTATACATCAGAGATCCATCTTCTCTTCCCTTAGGTAGTTTCACTGGTTAATATGATCTATAATTTGAATAGTGATGCAAATTTGCTTATAATTTACAGCACAGAAACGGGGCTATCAAGTCCAACTGATCTAGTCCCCCAGCATCCCTACCCTAATTTGTCTCATGCTATCAATATAATTGTCTATTCTTTTCTCCCTCAAATTTACTCTAGCTTGCTCTTAAATGCATCTATATTATTTGATAGGACATGTCCGTTCTCCTTCCCTCCGATAAAAACAGTAATTTGCCCTCACCTGGAGCACTGTGTCAAGTTCTGAGCACTATGCTGGCAGGAATGTGAAGACATTAGACAGAGTGAAAAAAGGTTCACTAATATGGTGATTCATATATTTGATGAGAAACTGCAATTATGTGCATAGATTTGGACAAGTTTGGAATGTTCCCCCTAAAGAAGGTGGAACTGTTCAAAATTATGAAGGGTCAGACGACTGGCAGAGAAGCTGCTCCCACTGTTGGAAGGATTGAGGAGCAGAGGGCGCATATTTAAAGCAATTGGCAAAATAATCAATTGCGACATGAGGATGAAGAAACTTCTTTCACACATGGTGAGTTAGGATCTGCAATGCACTGTCCCAGATAGTGGCGGAAGCAGGATCAATTGAAATTTTCAGAAGGGAGTTAAATCATTGACTGAAAAGTATAAAAATCGCAGCTCGGAAAAGGCTGGGGAGTAGAACTAGGTGATTTGCTTTAGGAGGGCCTGAACAGAAACAATCCGACTGGCCTCTTTCTGTGCTATGACAAATTTATGATCCACCACTTGATTAATCAGGAAATGACTGGACGACATCGGTTCGCTTCGAACAATTTGAAGTTCCCGAATGAGTCCCGGTGATACCAATGGATGGGAGACCTGGATATATTCGGTTTGAGCAGTGCTCACCTATTGGCAATGGGATGAGAAGAGCGCCAGTGGACGATGTTTGTTCGGTGAGCACAGCTCTGCAGCACCAGGCGAGGGAGCATCGTGTGGTCTGCTCTCTGAAACTACCCCGGAAGGAGGCAACGCTTTCAGCCCTCACTGCCCAACACCGCCATCCGCAGCACGGCGCCTCTGCAATGTAGCCTCACTGCCCCCAGTTAGCGGTGCAGGCCGCTACTGTTCTCCACATCCTCTTTTAAATGGCGAGGGAGCCTCATCTCCAGGGCAACTGGTCTGTGACGCCAGCCGTGACAATTTTTGAGTGAAAAGTGATTCAACTTTGCCAGTGGAACATTTGAGGATTTGCTGTCCTCTTTGATTCCTGACGTGCTGGTGTTAAAATGCTTCCAGATACTCAACCCTCTGTAGACTGGCCCACCGTCCGATTTGCTCTCACGTTGTCCTCGCGTACCACGAAGTCCCCGACAGAAACTCGGATGTTTTCCTCAGATGTGAAGGGGGCTATGGATTCAGACGTGTTAAATCACAGAAATGTGGCAAATAGGAGCAAGAATTGCTTCGTGACTAAATATGATCATGACTGATCATCAGACTCAGTACCCTGTTCTCCTATCGTCCCATACCCTTGATCCCTTTAGCCCAAAGAACTATGTCTAACTCCTTGAAACCATTCAAGTTTTAGTTTCAACCACTTTCTGTGGCAGAGAATTCCACAGGCTCACCGTTCCCTACTTGAAAAAAAATTCTCATTTCAAAAAATGTTTACAAGACTTAAATTTTAAATATTGTTTAATTGTCATACATTTAATATCAACAAACTAGTTCTTTATTACCTATCAGAGATAGTAGGAACTGCAGATGCTGGAGACTCCGAGACAACAAGCTGCAGAGCTGGATGAACACAGCAGGCCAAGCAGCATCAGAGGAGCAGGAAGGCTGACGTTTCGGGCCGAGACCCTTCATCAGAAATGGGGGAGGGGAAGGGGGTTCTGAAATAAATAGGGAGAGAGGGGGACAGGATAGAAGATGGATAGAGGAGAAGATAGGTGGAGAGGAAACAGACAGGTCGAAGAGGTGGGGATGGAGCCAGTAAAGGTGAGTGTAGGTAGGGAGTTAGGGAGGGGATAGGTCAGTCCAGGGAGGACGGACAGGTCAATGGGGTGGGATGAGGTTAGTAGGTAGGAGATGGGGGTGCGGCTTGAGGTGGGAGGAGGGGATGGGTGGGAGGAAGAACAGGTTAGGGAGGCGGGGACAAGCTGGACTGGTTTTGGGATGCGGTAGGGGGAGGGGAGATTTTAAAGCTTGTGAAATCCACATTGATACCATTGGGCTGCAGGGTTCCCAAGCGGAATATGAGTTGCTGTTCCTCAACCTTCAGGTGGCATCGTTGTGGCACTGCAGGAGGCCCAGGATAGACATGTCGTCTGATGAATGGGAGGGGGAGTTGAAATGGTTCGCGACTGGGAGGTGCAGTTGTTTATTGCGAACCGTGCGTAGGTGTTCTGCAAAGCGGTCCCCGAGTCTCCGCTTGGTTTCCCCGATGTAGAGGAGGCCACAACGGGTACAGTGGATGCAGTATACCGCATTGGCAGATGTGCAGGTGAACATCTGCTTGATGTGGAAAGTCTTCTTGGGGCCTGGGATGGGGGTGAGGGAGGAGGTATGGGGGCAGGTGTAGCACTTCCTGCGGTTGCAGGGAAAAGTGCCGGGTGTGGTGGGGCTGGAGGGAGTGTGGAGCAGACAAGGGAGTCACGGAGAGAGTGGTCCCTCCGGAAAGCAGACAAGGGTGGGGAGGGAAAAATGTCTTTGGTGGTGGGGTCGGATTGCAGATGGCGGAAGTGTCGGAGGATGATGCGTTGGATCCGGAGGTTGGTGGGGTGGTACATGAGGACGAGGGGGATTCTTTTTTGGTTCTTATTGCGGGGACGGGGTGTGAGGGATGAATTGCGGGAAATGTGGGAGACACGTTGGAGGGCGTTCTCGACCACTGAGGGGGGGAAGTTGCGGTCATTGAAAAACGAGGACATCTGAGATGTACGGGAGTGGAATGCCTCATCCTGGGAGCAGATGCGGCGGACGCGAAGGAATTGGGAATAGGGGATGGCGTTTTTGCAGGAAGGTGGGTGGGAGGAGGTGTATTCTAGGTAGCTGTGGGAGTCGGTGGGCTTGAAATGGACATCGGTTTCTAGGTGGTTGCCCGAGATGGAGACAGAGAGGTCCAGGAAGGAGAGAGAGGTATTAAAGGTGGTCCAGGTAAACTTAAGGTTGGGGTGGAAGGTGTTGGTGAAGTGGATGAGCTGTTCAAGCTCCTCGTGGGAGCACGAGGTGGCGCCGATACAGTCATCAATGTAACAGAGGAAGAGGTGGGGTTTAGGGCCAGTGTAGGTACGGAAGAGGGATTGTTCCACGTAACCTACAAAGAGGCAGGCATAGCTTGGGCCCATGCGGGTACCCATGGCCACCCCCTTTGTCTGTAGGAAGTGGGAGGAATTGAAAGAGAAGTTGTTGAGGGTGAGGACGAGTTTGGCTAAGCGGATGAGGGTGTCAGTGGAGGGGGACTGGTCGGGCCTGCGGGACAGGAAGAAGCGGAGGGCCTTTAGGCCATCTGTATGGGGAATGCAGGTGTATAGGGACTGGACGTCCATGGTAAAGATGAGGTGTTGGAGACCGGGGAATTGGAAGTTCTGGAGGAGGTGGAGGGCATGGGTGGTGTCACGGACGTAGGTAGGGAGTTCCTGGACCAAGGGGGAGAAAATGGAGTTCAGATAGTTGGAGATCAGTTCGGTGGGGCAGGAGCAGGCGGAGACAATGGGTCGACCAGGGCATTCAGGTTTGTGGATTTTGGGAAGGAGATAGAAGCAGGCGGTGCGGCGTTGGGGAACGATGAGGTTGGAGGCCGTGGGTGGGAGGTCACCTGAGGTGATGAGGTTGTGGATGGTTTGGGAGATGATGGTTTGGTGCTCCGGGGTGGGGTCATGATCAAGAGGGCGGTAGGAGGAGGTGTCGGAGAGTTGGCGTCTGGCCTTGGCAATGTAGAGGTCAGTGCGCCATACTACAACTGCGCCTCCCTTGTCCGCGGGTTTTATGGTGAGGTTGGGATTGGAGCGGAGGGCTGCACGTTCTGCGGGGGAGAGGTTGGAGTGGGTGAGAGGGGTGGAGAGGTTGAGGCGATTGATGTCTCGACGGCAGTTGGATTTCACAAGCTTCAAAATCTCCCCTTCCCCTACCGCATCCCAAAACCAGCCCAGCTCGTCCCCACCTCCCTAACCTGTTCTTCCTCCCACCTATCCCCTCCTCCCACCTCAAGCCCCACCCCCATCTCCTACCTACTAACCTCATCCCGCCCCCTTGACCTGTCCGTCCTCCCTGGACTGACCAATCCCCTCCCTAACTCCCTACCTACACTCACCTTTACTGGCTCCATCCCCGCCTCTTCGACCTGTCTGTTTCCTCTCCACCTATCTTCTCCTCTATCCATCTTCTATCCGCCTCCCCCTCTCTCCCTATTTATTTCAGAACCCCCATCCCCTCCCCCATTTCTGATGAAGGGTCTAGGCCCGAAACGTCAGCCTTCCTGCTGCTATGATGCTGCTTGGCCGGCTGTGTTCATCCAGCTCTGCACCTTGTTGTCTCTTTATTACCTATCCTCTGTTTTGAGAATTGAAGTTTTATACCATTGATTTGCATGATATTATTGTCTGTCAGTGCCCATTTTATATGCAGTCCATTTTCCCATTGAAATACAAGAATAATAATAATGATCAGGAAAGCCTTTCATGGCTTATCCAACAGGAATAATTTAGTCCAACCTATCCCTATATCACAGTCCATTTAGTCCTTTAATTCTTCACAGATTTCTGTCTATCATACCCTCATTTGAAGTCTAATCAACGTTTTATGACAATAGGAAAATCTGAAAAAGGGGCAGTACAGTGGCTCGGTGGTTAGTACTGCCATCTCACAACACCAGGGTTTGATTCCAGCCTCAGACGACTGTGTATGAGGAATTTGTACATTCTCCCTGCGTCTGCGTGGCTTTCCTCTGGGTGCTCCAATTTCCTCCCACAGTCCAAAGATGTGCAGGTTAGGTGGATTGGCCATGCTAAATTGCCCATAGTGTCCAGGGATGTGTAGGTTAGGTGCATTAGCCATGGGAAATGCAGGTTTACAAGGATAGGGTAGGGGGGTGAGTCTGGCTGGGATGCTCTTCGGAGAATCAGTGTGGACTTGTTGGGCTGAATGGCCTGTTTCCATAAGATGAAAAAGAACAAAATTCTACCATTCAATGAGATCATGGTTAGTCTGTTTGTGTTTTGAATTTCACTTTCTCATCTATTCCGATAGTCTTTGACCTTCCTGTATAATATGAATCTATCCACGTTTGTCTTAAAAATATTCAATGACTCAAGTTTGACCTCCCATTGAGGCAGAGAGTTCCAAAGTTGCACAAATTTCTGACAGGAAACTTTTCTCTATGTCTCTGTCCCAATAGGATCATTCCTAATTTTAATAAAGAAAGTCCCCTAGTTCTGAATCACAAGAGGAAATTCTTTCCACAATCACCTTGTCAAGGTCATTCATGATTTCATACAGTTCAAAGTGACTCATCGCTTTTCTAAACTCCAATGGAAACAAGCCCAGCCTGTACCATCCATCTTCACAAGGCATCAATCCAGCTTTCATTCCAGTAAACTTCCTTTGAACCACCCCCAATGCACTTACCTTCTTCCTTATATAAGACCAAATTCATGCAGTTTTGGAAATTTAATCTCACCAATGAACTGTATAACTGGAGCTTAACCCTTTTACTTCTTTGTTGGAGTTGTGTTATAATAAAGCATAGCATCCTATTAACCTTCTTAATGATGTGGTGTACCTGTATTTTGACTTTTTACGCAGTATAACCTCTTTAATAATCGATTGTAATGTCTTCCCCATGCAAATATTAAGGTTGATAGTTTTCTATTTTCTGCTCAGTCAGTTCTTGTAAAGAGTATTTTTTTAAACTTTCCATTCAACAGGAGCCTTTCCTGAATCTAGGTTTTTTTTTAACACTAATACATTCACTAATTTACCAGCCATGTCTTTTAAAGCCCTAAGATAAAGTTCATCTGCAATAATATTGATTTAGAAAAGGATTTTCTGACAAAAACCCTAAATCTGTGTATCTCAACTTTGAACTAATGCTAATATTCTGGAGTTTTTTTGTTTCTGTGCATGTTGTAATGTCCTTCCTATAAGATGTAGAAGGGGACGAGATAGAGAGTTAACTCATATCCACTGACTGATTTTGTTCAGTAAAGAGACACCCTTCATTTCTTCCCTCAAATATGGGTTTAGCTATTTTCCATCAATTGTGCTGGTGTTTTGGTGGCAAGACATAAACTTGTATAATGAAATATGTGTGATTGATATATATGTACCCTTTTAAGAGATTGGATTTTAAACTAGTGGCATATGGTCTTTTTCTTCTGAAAGGGTTTAATAAACTAACTACGTCGATCTTTCTAGAAGCACTGACTATAAATCAGTATGTGTCAGACAGCAGATGATTGCAACACCCCCTGGAATGTTAATGGATGTTTGTTTATATTGTGGGTATTTAAATAGGAGAGAGAAAAAATTGAAAGACATTAGTCTGCTTTTGGTTTAGAAAAATCAGAGATTTATTGTAGCTTAGAAAAACCCAGACAATGGAAAGTTGAAATAAGAACAAAAATGCTGGTGAAACACCCGCAGGTTTGGCAGTATCTATGGAGACAGAAATGGGTCAATTGTTGTGCTGATTAAATGATTAAACTTTGACCTACAGTTGGGATGCTTCTTAAACTAAGATAGGAGCCAAAGCATGTGTCAAATCATCATACTGTACAATTGCTTATTTCATACTTTGGCTGATGAGAAGGGTATCGATAATACTACCAGTCATATACAGTAATACAATGACCTAATCTTAGCCTAGGATTTTTGAATCGAGACCTGAAATAATGTGATATCTGTTAAACTTTCGGCACCAGTTTATTGAATACACAGTATAGTCAGGGGCCTGTACATAGAGAGAGTGATAAATGCAAGGTTTTATCCATCATCATTTATCTTTGCTATGTGGGCTATGGTAATCAAAACCCCCTTTTGCATTTCTGACCTTTTTCTGTGTTGCACAAATTTCCTTTCTTGAAAAGACTTCCAATCTGCAGTAACTTAATTTACACTGTGACCAACTGATTTTTTTGCAGCATACCACATTCCCAACTGTGGCATTCTCACATTTCATCAGCATTGTTCAGGCTTCCTTTCTCTGCAATCCAGTGCCTGGGAGGACCTTGAACTACTTTAACCACAGCAGTTCACTTCCACTGGGATCACTCTTCAAGTGTTTATCTCTATTTCTATGTTCAAGCAGCTGGGCTGGCTTCAGCTTTCATCATTAGCACTGTAGTGTCACTGGGTCTCACTCCAGACACTCCTTGCTGCTTGCCTCCGGTTCTATGATCTCATCATCTTTTCTACCATGTTGTAAGGTCAGTTCTACTCGCAGATAAGTGAATACTTTCAGGCTTTATTGAATATGACTATACGGAAGGCATGGTGAAACAAGACCTCTCTGGAACCCTAAGATTCAAGTTCCAATTCAATGTGACCTGACATCACTATGTCATAGGTCCTTTTACACCTGCTCAGTAACTATTCTTAGAGTAAAGACATCAGCTAACCCTTTATCCCACATCCATGTTGGTGGAGGTTGATCATTTAGATCTTAACACATGATGTCTCCAAACCTAGAAGGATAAGGGCAACAGTTATGTGGGAACATCACCACTTGTAAGTTCCCCTCCAAACCTCAAACCATCCGGACTTGGAACTTTACTATTGCTTAACTGTCAGTGAGTCAAAATCCTGGAATTTCGGCTCTAGCAGTATTCTGGATGTACAAACACTAAAAGGAAGGGGATATTGGCTGGCCAGCAGATTTTCAATGCACAGTAACAACAACAGTGTGGGTTCAATTCTTGCACAAGCTCAGGTCACCATGAAGGTTCTGTTTTCTCAAATGCACCCCTTCTTTGAGGCATAGTGACCAAGAGGTTAAACTCACCAGTTGTCTCTCTCTAAAGAGAGAGCAGCCTTATGGTCCCCTGGGACTATGGCAATTACTGTTACAACTACAAATGGACTTCGGCCGTTCAAGAGGACAGTTTTCTATTATCTTCTCAAGTACAATTAGGGATGGGCAATAAATGTTGAGCCAACCAAGTGACACCCACATTTGAGAAAGAATATAGAAAGAAAAAATGCTGTACAGTTTCTGGCAGGTGGTCCCCTGGGAGCTGGGACAGTTTTGGACGTCGGCTGGGGAGAGCACTGTTTGTACAAATTATTCTGCGTTTGGGGCTTTGCAAAGCATGCCTAGCCAACTGCTTGAAGAGAGGTTTTCAGGATTCAGCGGGGAAAAGGAGCTCTCAAAATGGAACTCAGCACTTGAGTATCTAAATTTCAGCTGTGGAACAAAACGCCAAGCTGTCACCAGAAATCAAAACTAATTAAAACCATTAAGCTTCTAACTAAAGCAAGATTCTAAGATAATTATGAATTATCGGTTTCTAAGTCAGAAGCCACAAGGTTTGTCTATTAAAAGCACGTTCTGTGCTCATGTGAGATAATTCCAATTTGGGAGGTATAAGTCTCAATAACTGACTTATGAGTTACATGGAATAATGTTCACACTCATGGAATCCCTACCGTGCGGAAGCAGGCCATTCGGCCTTTCAAGTCCACACCTACACTCCGAACAGCATCACAGACCCAGCCTCCTACCCTACCCCTGTAAACTTGTATTTCCCATGGCTAATTCACCTGACCTGCACATCTTTGGGCTGTGAAAGAAAACCGGAGCACCCGGAGGAAACGCGTGCAGAATGTGCAAACTCCACACGGTCACCCGAGGGTAGAATGGAACCGGGGTCTCTGTCTCTGTGAGGCCGCAGTGCTAACAACTGAGCCCATTATCAATATACTAGCCGCAGTTTCTTTATCAATATTCACAGATTTTTGTTAGAATATTTCAAAAACGTTGTTCCTGTAGTCTCCACAATTCTCACTGAGTCCTCGTCTTAACTGAGCAAGAAATGGGCATATTGATTTCCTGGTAAAATGGTCAGTGATAGTTATACTCTTATCGGTAGGTCAGGTTACAGGTTTACTAACTTTTAGATATTGCTTCAGGTTTTCTCATTTTCAGTCTCATTGATGCAATATCGTTTTATCAGAACAGCAAGATTAAAATGAAGAAACAACATACACTTCATAAGAGTTCTGTATGTTCCGTGCAAAGTAATTATTGCTCAGTTAACTAATGTTGCGTGAAAGTGCCATTGACCATAATGGCACAGACCTCAGCGATGTTCCCAGTTCCAGTGATTATGTAACGTCTCTTCAAATTTCGCCAGTTCCAGCATTCCAGCCTCACTTCCTTTGATAGGAACAAGCAGACAGTTGCTTGTTTTGGCGAAGAAAAACTGGCTATATACCCTTATGTAACACCTCTCCAAATTAATTGCCTCTCACAAAGCTAACAGAACAAACTTAACTTCCGAATAAGTTCAACAGTAAGGTAGGAGTGTGCTAACCGAATCGCGCGTGTGTGTTTTCTCCGGCCTCTCTCTCTCTCCCGTCCTTTTGTTACGAGCTGTCTTCCAGTCAATCTGCCGTGATCTGTTTGGACGAATCGCTACGGGTTATTTTGTGTGGTGTGCAGGCTGCAGACTGCCGTCAGTAGAAATAGGCTCTGCTCTGTTTTCCAATTTTTTTTCTATCCGGTTATTGAAGGGTGTTATAAAGATTCAAATTATTCGCCAGGTGTTTAATACTTAGCGGGAACAATAATTGATCTTTGCTGAAATGTTACTTAAATGTACGGTACCAAAAAAACATTACACCGTCACATAACTGTTGAAATGTAACTGCTAAAAAGACCAACTGCTACCTTCCTCTCTGAGTCAAACATAGCAACTTGGCTGCTGAGAAAATTACAGGTTTTTGTTGAGCAATATTTTACTGGGTGGTGCAATGTAGAGAAAGGTTATTTAGTCATTATGCATGAACCACCTTCTAAAAGTGAAAACTGGAAATTGTGTTAATGGGGCATTTTTTTTTGTAATGGTTAACAGAAACATTGGACATTTTCTGAACGAAATAACAATATTAGCAGACATTCCTCACAGAAGTAGAAATCAACTTGCAAAAATACCAGAGATGTGATATCTTCTAATCATCACATCAGATATTATAATGTATAAGGTTGCACACCATTCAGCAAACCTGTTTAATGTCCTAGTTTCTGACCCTGATTAGTCTGAAGTAATGTGGGTTGCTCCTGCTGTTTAATGGAGCAGTTTGGGACCAGTTATTGGACTGTTGAGAATGACATCCAGAGCCTTGTGATAACCATTTGTCCCTCTTTCCTACTGCCAGATTATTCTCGGTGCTCCCTTTGCCACACACATTTATTTTTGTGGATTTTCACTCTCCTGCACTCAGGTTTTTTGCAGCCTTGCTTTTTCTGCAAAGATAATTTTTCTTTTTATCATTCAGCTCACTGTAGCAGATGTTAGTATCCTATGGAAGGGTTCAGTTCGATAAAGAATAAACGAGATCTGACCAAACAGCTATACATTATGACCTGATCAAGAATGGGATTGAAAACTGTAATTGATGCTTTATTGGGAATGAACTGCAATCTGATTAATAATTCAGATGATTTCTGTGTAAAATGCTATAGGGCTAAGCTTAAGTTACAGGCTGTGACTTGTAATTTTTTTGAAGTTCCACTCCCAACAATAGAGTGCCACACAGCAAGAACATAGATCAGAAATCAGGACACAAAGATCAGTTTGCACATTTCACAGTTATCCTAATTTTCTACTCAAACTATTTTGACCCACGCACTCTGGCCTTGGTGCTTGCTTGTCCAATTATGCTCAGTGTATATTAGCCACCTGACCTCCCAGAATGGGATTTCACAGGATTAAACAACTAATTGAGAGGGTCCCAGAGCACGTCAATGTCTGAATTCCAACATAGGATTAGCGGCAAGATCAACACCATATTCCAGAGATTTCCACTAATCATATTATTTGCATGTTTTGTTTCAACAAAGACATTTTGTGGAGAAAATGAATTTAAAAGTGAAAATCCTTTCCCATCACGTTTCATGATACTATCTACCCTCTGATGGCTGAGTCACAGTTGCTTTCAATTGAATATTGAAAAGACTGAAGTCATTGTTTTCAATCCAATTCTGAACAGTGTTTCTTAACAACTGATTCCTTTGCAACAGTCTGAAATGAAACAAGTCCATTCACAATATAGCTTTCATGTTTGATCCCAAGATATGCCTTTCAATCTCATGTTGTCCAACTAAGAATATTTATTTCCACCTCTGTAACAGCACTGACCATACCCATGTCAAAATTCATTTGCTCTGAAACCCTTATCCATATATTTTGTAACATACAATTTTCCTATTCCAATGCCTTTCACCCATAAAATACCCTCCATAAACATGATGCCATTGAAAGGCCTAAACTCACAGCTAGTCCCATTCCTCTGTCAGCCCTGTGTTCTCTGAACTACATTGTTCAATGAGACCCGGGTGTCTTCATAACCAGTCACTGAAAATAAACAGAGATAGCAAGAACTGCCGATGCTGGAGTCTGAGATAACACAGTGTGGAGCTGGAGGAACAGCAGGCCAGGCAGCATCAGAGGAGCAGGAAAGCTGATGTTTCGTGTCAGGACCCTTCCACAGAAAGTAAATATGCAGGTGCAACAGGCAGTAAAGAAGACAAACCATGTGTTGGCCTTTGTAGCATGAGGATTCGAGTGCAGGAACAAGAATGTTTTGTTGCATTTACACAGGGGATAGGTGAGGCCACACCTGAAATAATGTGTTCAGTTTTGGTCTCTTTATCTAAGGAAGAATATTCTTGGTACAGGGGGAGTGCAGTGAAGGTTTACCAAATTGATCCCTTGAATAGCAGGACTGACATGTGAGGAAAGATTGAATCAGTTAGGATTGTACTCCCTGGAGTTTAGAAGAATGAGGGGGTAGGGTTGAATCTCATAGAAACTTATAAAATTCTAACAGCACCAGGCAGGTTTGATGCAAGAAGGATGTTCCTAATAGTGGGGTACACCAGAACCAGGGATATAGTTTAAGGAAAAAGGGTAAACCTTTTAGGACTGAGATGAGGAGAAATTTCTTCACCCAGAGAGTGGTGATCTTGTTGAATTCCCAACCACAGAAAATGGTTGAAGCCAAAACATTATGTGTTTTTAAAAAGGAGGTAGATATAGCTCTGGTGACTAAGAGATACGAGGGAGGTTGGGATTAGGATAATGATGTGGAGGTGCCGGTGTTGGACTGGGGTGGACAAGGCCAGAAATCACACAAGACCGGGTTATAGTCCAACTGGTTTATATGAAAATACAAACTTTCGGAGCCTCGCTCCTTCTTCAGGTGTTAGTGAGATAGGTAGTATCAGACACAGAATTTATAAGTAAAAGATTAAAGGGTCATACCACTGATGAGGATGTAGTAAACAAACCTTATGTGCTGTTAAATCTTTAATCAGTTAGAAGGTTTTAATTGATTAATATGTATGTGTAAATCCCCAAATTCCTTTGAAGTCACTGTCCTGAGAGAACTAAAGGTTTTATCAGCGTAAAGAAGAAGTGACATTTCAGGTCCAACAATGCATGTTAGGCATGAGGCCTTGTTTAGAATCTGTTTGTGTTTTGTTTTGGTTTGGAGTCAGACTGATTTTGTTTCTAAAGTAAGAATTTATAAAATGTCACATTGACTGACTATGTGTGTGAGAGTGTAGTGTGGTGGGATCACCTGTAGATCTCGGTTGAGGCTGTCCTCATGGGTACCGAGTTTAGCTATCAGTTGTTGTGAATCCCAAAGTCCGCCCTGGAGGATGTTTACCCGAAGATCCGAGGCCGAATGTCTTCAACCGCTGAAATGTTCCCCCACTGGGAGGGAACATCCCAGCTTGGCGACTGTTGCGCAGTGTCTACTGATCCGTGAGCATAGCATCTGCATTGTTTCACTACTGTACCATGGGATTAGGATATTGAGCTCAATGAACAACTATGATCATGGTGAATGGCAGAGAAGGCACGAGGAGTCAAATGACCTACTCCTGCTCCTGTCTTTCTTTGTGCTCCAGTCAAGAAATTTCTTGATTTATAAATTTGCATCCCAGTCATAAATCCGTCCAGTACCTTATGTCTCCCTATCTCTGAAAGCTCTTCAAGCTGCACAGGACTCTGGGAATCTGTGCTCATCAAATTCTGGTTACCTGAGTTAATATTTATGTAGCATAGTGTCAAACTTTATTTTAAAATTCTCATTTGAATCTTTTCATATTTAAAAGTGCAATACAAATATAAGTTATTGTTGATGTCCACTGTTGTAAATTAGCCACAAGTAATGTTGTTCTTTTCATGCTTCTCACAAAGTTTAGATCAAATGGATGCCATGAAAATTACTGCAGTGCTGTTCCTGAGCTTTTCATCGTCTATGTCCATTTGCCCTAATCAATGCACTTGCTATTTCTCTAACAATATCATAGCTGTGATTTGTGTCTCAATTGAATCTCTTCATGAAGTACCAGAAAACGTTCCGCCCAATGCAACAAGACTATCGCTCGAATTTACCAACATTGCCATTATAAAAGAAAAGGATTTTAGTGGACTTCACCAACTTGAAGAGCTTCATCTCTCAAGCAACAGATTGACAAACATCTCTTCAGGTGCACTAAGAGGCCTCCATCAACTGAGAATCTTGGATTTAACCGACAACTTGCTGACTACAATCTCACCAGAATTACTTAGCACCTCTTTTAATTTAACTACACTGGTACTACTTGGAAACAAATTGCAAACTGTAAATCCATTATGGTTTCATCATCTTCACAATCTTGAATCATTGGATTTATCAAACAATATGTTGAAATCATTACCTCCTGATTCATTTCAAAATCTGACTAACCTGATAACACTTGACCTTTCCAGTAATAAACTTGAACATCTATCAGTTGATTTATTTAACAAAATGTCTAAACTGAAGAGGTTAAATCTGGGACATAATCAGTTGCGTAGTTTCCTCCCTGGTACCTTTGACCGTGTGCTCAATTTAGAATATTTGTTTCTTAATGGTAATAAAATTGGAAAGATCCCAGTGGGGCTGTTTAATAAACTACTGAAGCTCGATACAATGGATCTTTCAAACAATACATTGGAGTCACTTCCTCCAGGAGTGTTTGATAAACTTTTGCACATCGGGGCCAAATGGCAACAGGGTTTAGATCTCTCACTGAATCCATGGGTTTGTAACTGTGATCTGAAGTATCTGTGGGACTGGCTCTCAGTGAATTCTGAAAAACTGTTCTCAGTCGATTCAACAGTATGTGCGAAACCTGAAATCGTCAGGGCAAAACAGATTACAACACTGACTGAAGTAGAATTAATGTGTTAAAGTAATTGCTTCTGAGTCACTTTGTACTTGGTGCTTGTATGAGTCACTTCAAATAAGCAAAAATAAACACTTGTTCCCATTTTGCTGTCGCATCAAGTTTTTGAATAATCTGTTTATAGGTGAGCTGGTGGTTGCTGACAAATTCTAGGTCAGAAAGTGGTAGAACATGGTTCTATGTTTGATGATTACACAACTAATGAATACATGATTTGGATGAACTGTTTAGTTAAAGTACTATGCGTGGGATTTTTATAGACAGGGAGTTAGCAGGCAGGTCATTTGACCACCACCTGCCTCCTTCCAGTGGGTCTGCAACATTGTCGAAACCCTATAAGTTTCACATCAGCTGGCTTTTTAGCCAGATCGTGTATGAGATCTGAAGACATGGCAAGAGTTTGATAAAGTACTGTATTGGCTTTTATAGCAGGGGAGGGGTCTCTCTATTCATTATATATGTGGAAATGGTGAACCCCTTCTTTATAAAATGATGCACACTACTCAAAACAAATGTTTCTCCAATGCCACTTAGAAAATCATTTATTCAAAGGGAATACTTTAGTTCTTCAAGTGAGCTAAGTGGTGAAGTTAATATCCATTGAGACTTGAATTATAGGGGAGATGAAGGCCTAATTGTATTATCATTGCACTACTAATACAGAGACCTGGTAATGTTCTGGGGACCTGGATTCAAAGACCCCGGTGAAAGATGGTGGAATTTGAATTCAATAAAAATCTGGAATGACGACCACTGGTGATTGTTGGAAAAACCTATCTGATTCCCAGATGCACTTAAAGGAACGAAACTGCCATCCTTACCTGGTATTGCCTGTGAACAAATTAAACAAAATAAAATTAACTGCCATGTTGGAAGCCAATGTGAATGTAGAAGAACTGATCCATCCTAACTAAATTAACATCCATCACATGTATTCACTCACCAATATGATTGGGAACAAGATAATGGGTGGGGGAAATATTGTGTAAAAGTTAAATTCATGAGACTTTTATTAAGCCAAAAATCATGGGCTTAACTTTTAAGTGGGTGATTGGTGTGTGTTTCATTTGGGTCTGAGTGAAATGAATAAAGGATTATCACAATGGAATAAAACAAAAAAAAACCCACAAAATAATTCATGCTAATTATGTAGTATTTATTTATTTTATAACAGTATAGGCTATGGACTTGATGTATTATATGCTATACAGACTAGAGTGAGAAACCGGAATCAGAAACAACTGTGTTAAACTTGAACGAGGATAATTACAAAGGAATGAATGTAGACTTAGATGGAATGCGCTGGGAAAGGAATCCAGCAGAAAAGACAGTTGAGGAACAATGGCAATCATTTAAGAAAAATAGTTAATTATTCACAACAAAGATATATCCCAGTGAAGAAGAAGGATTCTAGGAAGGGGATAAATCAACCATAGTTAACCAGGGAGTGCAGCAAATTGAAAGAAAAAAAAATACAATCTGCAAAGATTAGTTGTAAGAGGGTTGGGATTTTTTTTTAATCTAAAGGTGACAAAAAAACGGAGAAAATAAACTTTGAGAGTCAACTAGCAATAAATATCAAATGGACAGCAAGTGATGAGGACAACATAAACAGTCTACAGAGGGATATAGACAGGTTAAGTGAGCAGGAAAAAGAACTTGACAGAAACCATGTAAAATGAGAAAATGCATGTTTATGCACTTTGACAAGAAGATCATGATGCTGAATATTATTTAAATGAAGAAAGACTGCAGAAAGCTGCAGGACAGAGGGATTTGGGAGTTCTTGTGCATAAATCACAAAAGCTAACATCAAGTTCAGAGGCTAACATGAAAGGCCATTGGAATGTTGGCCTTGACTTCAAAGGGAGTGGTGTATAAAACGAAGAAAACTGCAAGATGCAAGACATGAGTTAGACTACACATAGAATTCTGTGAACTGTTTTGGTCCTATTATCTAAGAAAAGATAAAACTAAAAGGTAAATTTACCGCTGTCTTTCTAGACCATAGGGCTGCTCTCCCATTTGAGAGAGATAGCTGATGGAGTTTACCTGAGGGTCACCATGCTTCAGGTGAGGGGAGAGGTTGGGAAGTAGAATCCTTCATGGTAACCTCAGCTGCTACGGGAATTGAACCCACACTGTTGACATTACTCTGTATCGCAAACCAGCTGTCAGCAATTGAAGCTGAAGGCAGTTCAGAGGTGGTCCATTAGTTGATCCAGGTACAACGGAATTTTCTTGAGAAGAGATTGAGTCGATTAGGCCTGGACTAGTTAGACTTTTGAAGATTGAGAGGTGACTTTATTGAAACATGTAAGATTATTATGGGGCTTGACAGGGTAAATGCTGTGAGGTTGTTTCCCTTTGTGGGAGTGTCTAGGACCAGGGGACATAATCTCAGAATAAGGGGCAGAAATGAAGAGAAATTTCTTCTCTCAGATGGTAGTGAAGTTAAGGTTTATCAAATCTGCCATGTCCTCACTAACGGTGAAACAGATTCAATTAGCCAATGGCTTACTTCAGGTTTTACATCTTACAGTCCTATATACATTCTGTCCATTGTTAATTTTTTAATATTTATTAGCTTATTTACTAGCACTTACTTTCATCACTATTATACTTATTAACTTACAAAGTAAGAGCAATAGACCATCCAATCCCTCAAGCTTGCTCCACCATTTAATAAGATCATGGTTGATCATTTTATGTTTCTAATTCCATATGCCCATCTAGCCCTGATAACCTTTGCTTTTCTTGCCTAACAAGGATCTATCTACTCTGTCTTAAAACTATTCAACAATCACATCTCCACTGTCTTCTGAAGCAGAGCTTCAAAGTTTAGAACGCTGTGAGAGACAAAAAATATATTATCTCTGTCCTGAAAGGAGGCGCTTATTTTAAAACCGTGTCTCTGTCCTGTCATTAACAGCTTCAGGATTACACTTTTGTTCTTAAATTTTTGGGCCTTGATCCCTGAAACAACAGGATCAACTTTTACATAGGGCATTTGCATTATAATGACATGTTAATGCAAACAGTCATGAAGTCGATATTTATACTTTCGCTGGTTTTGTTCAGATGCTGCCATTGTATAGAAATTTGTGGAACTTACCCTACGGATTCTTCTAAAATTATATTCCCAAAATCCACAACCTCCTGTTGTTCCACTGAATTACTGTGCTTTTCCCCCTCTCGGCCTTATTTGCTTTTGGTACAGCTTTCAGCTACCTTAATTTTGCTCACTGGAACTTCTTTCATAACCTTTTTCACCTTGCCACTTTGCTTCCTTTCCTGTCTTTAAAAATGTACTCTAAATCTTATTGTTTGAATGGGCCTTAGGCCAATTATCCGAAATTATCTACTGTCTGATATAATCTCTGCTCTGTGAACTGTCTTAGAACTAATTCTTAGCTGAACATGAATTCCTCTTGGCATTCAAACAGATGATAAGAGTTAGAGCAAAAATGTCATCGGTGCGTTTTAAGTTTTAATAATACAGGTAAACGTTCGAGGTAATAGCCAAAAGCATCCATAATATTTCAAGTAATGTGCATCATAGTTCACTCTTTAAATGGAAAATGCATACTAACAAAATTTATACAAGGCCTATAACTGAAGTCAGAACAGACTTTTTGATGGTGTGATCTGTGTGGAATGATCTGATATCCACGTCAGTCTGTATTTAGCCAGCAAATTATAATTTGTTTCTAAATTTATTGAATTGCTATTTTTATTAATGGCGGCTGAAACTTCAATACCATGAAACAAAATTTTCTACATAGCTTTCTCTCCTGCCTCTACCTGATATTTTGACAATTCCAACAGGCCTGGTGAAAGTGATGATGTGGAGATGCCGGTGTTGGACTGGAGTGGACAAGGCCAAAAATCACATGACACCAGGTTATAGTCTAACAGGTTTATGTGAAAACACAAGCTTTCTTAGCTCTGCTCCTGCCTCAGGTGTAGTGTTTTCTAGTGTTTTCAAATAAGCCTGTTGGACTATAACCTGGTGTCATGTGATTCTTGACATGATGAAAGTGAACTGTGTATAGAAACATAGAAGATTGGAGCAGGAGTAGGCCATTTGACCCCTCAAGCTTGCTCTGCCATTCATTATGATCATGGCTGATCATTGAGTTCCAATAAACTAATCCTACTCTTTCCATATACCCCTTGATCCCCTTAGCCACAAGAGCTATATCTACCTCCTTCTTGAAAGCTATGCAAATGAGTTCTTTCCTCATCATTCCACTGTGATGATTTGCAACAGGTGAACTTTAGCATTAGCAGTCTCTGGCTTTCTTATTTTGAATGGGCAGTCCTCTGTTGGTTTCTTCTTTCTTTGCACATGTGCACAGAGTGAACTCCAACCCTTCAAAGTATTTAAATTTCCCAGGCTGTAGGATTGAAATTGTTGCTTCATGGTGGTTGGAACTCAACTGCATCAACTTCGGTTGACCCAAATGTGACACCTCATGCTGAAGAATTTCATTCCATGGATCTGTGTCACCAATTTGATTGTGTAAATTAATAAAATTGCATTTTTAATTGCTGTTATACCTTCAGCACACTCTACTGAATATGATGCAAATCACTTCCATTCACTCTATTTCAATGAAATGCGTCTGTCCATTTGATGGGATGAAAATAATCAAGACTAGTGACTTCCAAGAGTTTTTGATTTTTATTTTCTAAAAATTAGTTTTGGAGTTTTTCCCAACATACTAGAAAATCTATGACATAAAAACCAGACTTGCCATACATGCAGTGTCTTATTTATGCCCAGTGTTTCCATTTCTGGACAATATTCACTGGATGACAATTTGGTTAAAATGGCACAACTATTTGCTCCATTAGAGATGCTACAAATTCCTATTAGAAGAGAGGACTTTGTGAACCAGATTCTGTTTTCTCAACTGCATGATTCATTGACTGCAACTTGTTTGGTAACTTTTGAAACAACTGTACTGCACTGTATTTAAATTAAGGACAAATATAAACAGTATGTACAGTTTTCAAACCAGGACATATACAAAATTGTGCAATTTGAAAACACAATATGACCAAATAGTTACAAAAAC